CCCCCCCAGCAGCCCACGTCAGGATAAATGGGAGATCAGAGACTAATGCCACTCTGAAACAAGTGTAGATCTCTTTAGCACAACAAAAAGCCTCTTTACTGTCAGTGATACAGCAAATCCTCTTCTGACGGCGCTCGCATGTGTGTGTGAGAGGCCGATGTGATTTTAATATCACAGGCAACTCATTGAATTCCTACAGATTTAGACCAATGTCATTTTTCACAAATCTGCACTCACAAAAAACCATTGCATGAACTGACCTACAAACACTCCTGGAAAACCTGGAAATCACTGTTCTCCGAGGTTTGTGCCGCTTCGCCGCTTCATATCTCAGACACTGTAAATGTGTGTTAAACAGGCTGGATGATGGATGATGGACTGGTGTGTTTACACACACTTTAAATCAACGTCTCATTCCTTTAATTTCCTCCATGTCCTGCTTTTCATAAGTGCGTGTCTCTTGTTACCAAACGGTTTGGTTCCTGCAGCCCCCACTCCATCCCAGTCTCTGCTGCAGGCGTATTTCCAGACTCGCTCTCGGAGCAGGATCAATACCTTTTTTGGGCTACACCAACAAGCTCCCCCCACACACACACACACACACACACACACACACACACACACACACACTTGCTCGGCCTTATACTGTCATGGTGCAGTTTAGAGAAACCGTGAGCCATTAGCCTGTGAAAATGAGCCATTAGGGTCCATGCAGCACTTTAGATCACTTACCGGAGAATGAACGGAAAGAGAGAGAGAGGGAGAGAGAGAGAGAGAGAGAGAGAGAGATGGATAAAATGCTGAAATGAGAGATGAAGTCACGTCTGTCTACATACACAGAGGAGCAGAAGTGCTCATGGAGGAGGATGGAAAAGTACCGCAGGATGGAGAGATGGAGAGACTGCAGGCCTCGGATGAGAGCAGCGCTGGAGAATCACCTCCATGATTCGATCATACCAGCATTGAGAGAGAGAGAGAGAGAGAGAGAAACCCATGTATGAGCGTCATCGCTGTTTGTTTGTGTCTCATGTAACGGGCCAGATCTGAGAAGCACACAGCATCTATTCTTGCAGAAACACAAACGCACTGAATGGTGGTTTTAACGCTTACCTGTCCGGTCTCTCCGGTTCCGTCCATCCGCGCTCGTTTGCATTCAGCTCCGACCGAATCCCCCGCCGCCGCGGCTCCCTCCGGCTCCGGGTCCCCGCGCTTCATCCCCCGAACCGCCGCCGAACCGGAGTCCAGATCTCTGTCGTGTTCCAGGATCCCGTGGCTCACGGGCAGCATTACAGATGCGACGTCGGTCGACATTAACATTGAAGAGGGCCGCAGACGCTGCGTATGAAGAGCGAACAGCGCAGGCGAGATGTTCTGGCAGAGGATCGGCGGCGCTTTATGGATCAGAACCGACGCTCATCTGACGCGTGGAAACCCGTTACAATGTGTCGCGCGAGTGCCGCATTAAAGGCCTTTGAAGAGTAGCGAGTACCTCGGGCCTGGAGCTTCGGAACGCTTCGGCAGATGAGAGGAGCCCGCGACGTGGAACGCGAAACGCTGGAGAAAAACGAGTCTAAACGCATGGAGGGCGAACGCGGAGGAAACGCTTAATGCGTCTGTAGGTGTCGGACCTCAAACGCTTTTCCACCAAATTAAACGCAAAATGGTCAAGTTCGCCTTTAAAAACAGGCGTCGCGGGAAAACGCGAGAGAAACGCGATGCATCATTCCAGTCCTTCGAGCGATTCAAGCGATTTCCTAAAACAAAGGAGTGGCGTGGAGCTGCTGCCTTGCCTTTCCTTTCCTTTCCTTTCCTCTCCCTCTCCCTCTTTCTGTCTCTCTCTCTCTCTCTCTCTCTCTCCCTCCCTCTCTCTCTCTCTCTCCCTCCCTCTCTCTCTCTCTCTCTTTCTCTCTCTCCGGTTTCCTCGCGCTCTCGTTGCTTTATTCTGGCTGCGGTTTCCCGTTTTCCCCGGTTGAGCACGAAGCGCTTTTAGCGTTTAAGAACCGAACGCAAGATTGCGTCTTTTATAATCTCCGCGTTTTCTTTGCATAAACCCGCAGTGCTGCGACCGGGAAGCGTCAACATGTGACGAGTCAATAATGAACGTTCCGGATGAAAAAAAAAAACGTTTGGAGAAAAACAGACGCGACTTCTTAGCGCATGTGCTGGAAATCTACGGATCTGTCGATATGAGGAGATGATCAGAGCGCGTATGTTTATCTATTGTGTGATTCATATGCGGTACAGTTTGTTCCTGCTGGATTTGTTCCAGTGGAAAATGAAGCCGAGGCGCGTCTGTGGCGTTTGCGCGACATCTGGCGGCCACATGACGCCACGACACCAACTCGAGCGCACACTTCACGAGTTCTGTTCTGGATTGCTCATAGTTTAGGAGTGAGCGGAATCAATGATTCACATTTCAAATAAAATATTAACAGATACACGACCAGTCAAAAGTAATGTTTTTACTCAAATATTTGATCAAAAAAACAGTAAAGTTTTCTATTTGAATATATTTAAAACTGTAATTTATTTCTGTGATGCGCAGCTGTATTTTCAGCATCATTACTCCAGTCTTCAGTGTCACATGATCTTCAGAAATCATTCTAATATGCTGATTTGCTGCTCAAGAAACATGTATTATTATTATTATTATTTTGTTGAAAACAGAATAGAAATCTTTTGTAACATTATGAATGTCCTTGTTAAATAAAAGTATTAATTTCTATAATTTTGTATATGCTTATTTCTTCTAACGAAATGTTTCCGTGTCATCAAAACTAATTCAGGTGCCTCTGAGAGCTAGATGCTCAGTTTTCTGGATGAATGCATTATTTATTTAAACATAAAATTGGTAAATATAATACAAAAACAATGCAAAGTCACTTTGGATAAACGTGCAGATGAAATGCATGATGTGACCGTCGAGGGCTCTTCTATTGTAAAGCTCGTCTGTGGCTGAGAGCCAGAAATGTGTGTTTGCAAGATGTTACAGTAGATTTACTCATTTGTTCCTTGCATCAGCTGTTTACTCGCAGCCTGCAGTTACATCACGAAACTTTGATTGTGGAACTTTTTCTTTTCTTCAGCCAATAAAAGACAAGTTGTATTTGTTGACCCAAAAGAACCGCCACAGTTGGTTGTGTCCGAGCGTCCCAGCTCTGTGTCCCGCGGGAGAGACACTAAACTAGAGACTGGTCTAAGACAGACTCTGGCAGAGATATTGTGAGGATGGAAGCAGGACGCCTCTGTATTGAGCGAGCAGTGGGTGAGTTATCTGAGAAATATGAATAATTGGTCATATTGGTAATCATTTAAAGGGGTCATGACATGCCTTAATATATGAATATGCATGTAAAATAAAACAGTCATATATTTGCAAAACTATGATTTTCAACCCTCATTCTGAGCAGAAACACAGTTTAAGAGTTTGTCAGCAGCTGCTCTAATGATTGGCTAACATCTCTGCGAAGGGAAAATATCAATGCATGCGAGTAACTGCTGCAGTTTTAATGCACGATTCTCCCACAACTGCACAAATATATCATATGTTACACTAAAATGTTAGGTTTACTATAGTTAACATACATAATATACTATATGTGACCCTGCAGCACAAAAGCAGTCTTAAGTCTGTATGGGTCAAAATTATTGATTTTTCTTTTACACCAAAAATCATTAGGATATTAAGTAAAGATCATGCTCCATGAAGATATTTGGTAAATTTCCTACCGTAAATATATCAAAACTTAATTTTTGATTAGTAATATGCATTGCTAAGAACTTAATTTGGACAACTTTAAAGATGATTTTC